CAAGTGATTTCGGAGTATTAATGGGGTCGGAAGATCATGTGTCTGCGCCCTCGATTAGTGGTGATGCTGGGACTTTTCTCTTTTTTTGGATGGTTTCATATCAATTATATAATGGAGTTTTAATTGCTTTGCCTTATTTATTTGAAAAGTATATTTATATATATATAGAATAAATCAGTTCAACAAGTATGATAATTTCAACGAGAATAATTCTTTCAATGCAGTAACTCATTTCTTCATACTTTTCATCTTGAAATAAGTGTTATCCTGCATAAGCTGATTCTAAAATTAGTAGTTGGCACTTAGTTTCTGAGTAATACAAACACAAAAGAAGAAATGATTAATAAGTTCCTACTCACATGTTTTCTTTAACGTTATGGAGATGAACCTGTTTGTTAGTTCCGTTGGTTAGTTCCGTTGGTTAGTTCCGTTTCGGTGGTTTGTAGTACTCATGCAAATAAGTAAAATACTTTTTAGTTATCGATAAATACTGTATACATGTGCGTTATAATGTGAAACTAACATAAAAAAGTGCAATTGAATAGTAATTATGACAATTACATAACAATTACATAATTACGCCTCCACTATACAATATTTAAATCATAAAAAAAATTACGCAGTTGTAAAATTTTAAAGAGACAAACTTAGCATTTAAATTATTCATATTAATATCAATATGAGTATAGTTGTATGTTCCGTTTTCTCCCTAACCCCTTAAAAAATACTTGAATTTAACAGGATACCTTAGACTTTTATGTTAAAACTATAAAATGGATACGCATACGTACTTAATTGAGGATGTGATACGTATATCATAAAGTCATATGTTAACGATTATTTAAACATGATCGTAAACAAGTTGTTAAATAGTTAATCTATCACCGATTGGTCATTAAACGAAAAATGTAACAGTATAAAAAATTGCTAACCACACGATTGAGTTTTCAATAATTGAATCGGAATGATTGAGAATACTGATATGCAAATATGGTAAGTCTAAAAGGTGGCAGATTATTTCAATTGTGTTAAGCGCAATTGCATCTATTTATCGGAAATCCGTGCTTACCGACTTTTTATGAATGATTATGAATGATTATGAGTAAAGATTACTCACTCGATATGTATTATAAAATTTATTTATTTCTACCATTTATGTATGAACATTCATGATAAATTTGTGCACTAACTAAATCAGCGTATCTAGAATTATAAAAATCATCTAAAAATAAAGTAATAAAATAATTTCGTCCGTCAAAAAGTCTATCTGAAGGAACTGAATTATCAGAAATTTTTTTATGCCCTAACATAAAATCGTCATGGGAAATAATTTGATACGGCTTATTACCATTTAAGTCGACACAATATGTCTCAATAACATGATGTCCTTCACGTAACATACTATACGGTCTCATTCCAACAAATTCCGATACAAACATATTTCCTAATCTAGCTTCTGATGATTTTATAAATCTATCAGATGACCAAATTAATACACTAAATTTGACAAATGATTTTGATATATCAAATTTAGGTAAAATTTTTAATTTCACTACAATTCTTGAATCTAATATTGAAATATTGTTTGACTCTGGTTGTATATTTCCAAATAACTTTTCTGTACGACAATCATTTTGACCCATAAAAATTTCGTTATACTCATAGGAGTAATAGCAAACATAATCTGGAACTTCTTTCCATAACACTGTCGGTTGAACAGAATATGTTCCATTTATACCATTGGTACGATTTGTACCATTTGTGGGTGTTTCATCTGATGATAAATTCTGTAAAGAATTTATCAAACCTTCTTCGTTGACATAGTCCTGGTCAATACTCCGTTTTGACATTGTATTAATATTGTTAAACAAATCGTTAAGTCGATGATTTTAATTGTATTTTTTATGTACAACTTTTGCCGTATTTATAATAAATTTAATAATAATACAAACCAATTAAATGCCGTACTACGTCTTATGATCCCGGTTACGCAGTAACAAATCATTCACTTGACACGCAGTTTTCTGGAAATGCCCGTTGTTTAATGTTTTCGCCAAAAACAAATGAGTGATGCCATGGCAAAACCTGTAAGCAAATTTTGAGGGATCAATAGCGATAACGATAAGGCGAGTTTACCTCTGGGAATATAGGTTTTTCTTTGGCATCACTCAAATCATTTCGGATGACCATGCGTATGAAGAGGTTCTAGTTATGTGATCAGATTAGTCACATTTCAACTTTAATTATACGTGACTTACCTATAAAAGTTTTAATTTGTTACAAGCAATTAGTTTTTCCGTTATTCGTTCATAATAAAATTTTATTTACAATCACAGATTACTAAATTTTACAATTATATGGCCTATTAAAAAGCAAAAAAAGGTTCATCAAAAACTTTGTTTAGTTGCACGCTTAACGTTAATTATTTTTTTTTGTTCAGTAAATGGTTAGAACGGAGTTTATTTTCCGAATAAATTTCCCATTTTAACTTCTGTTAAATGATTTTTGTTATGTAATACATGTTGTGATAGTTCAGAAATAGTGTGACTCCGACATAGTACAACTTTCGATTTATGCTATTGTTTTCATTTGCGGAAGGATGTGAAATATTTTTGACGGGGTATGAGTGATTGCACGTGATTTCGCGGTCCCACGGAACCGCATACCAGATACGGGGTAAATCAATAATAGTAGGATCGACGTAATGATTAATAGTGACCGTTATTCATGATGCGAAATTATAATGTAATTTGAGAGGTATATTGTAGCTTATTAGTAAAATCGATGACGTAAACGCACATGCTAATTGCAATCCTTGAATGTGTGCTAGGTATTTTTTTAGAGCTTTTATTGTTGTTAGAGTTTATGAAGTAAATAGTAAAATTACTCAAGGAAAATTTTGTTAGTGCGCGAAGAGTAGTTTTATATGCAATTTTTCAAGAAATAAAAGAAATAAGCAATTCTTGACAAAACGGCCGTTCGTTTTGAATTTTCCTATTCGTGTTACGTTGCACCTGATCTTGAAATCTATCTGCAGAAGTGATACAATACAAATTCGATGTTACACGCCACAAACCTGACACACATTCAAGAACTGCATGATGATTAAATAAACATGAGGTTCGATCTTGCAAATCGAACCTCTATTTCTGCTTGTTCTTGAGTAAATACCAAACCTAACTTGTAACACAGTGGTACCTTAAGACAGTAAGGTTGGAGCCGTTGCTGAGTAAAGGGGTTTGGCGTAATTTCATTACGGCGCATTTGCGAAATTAATTAGGTAATTGATCACCAAATATAAGTATTTGGTCCCCAAAATTCAATTTTAGTTATGATACCAGATTATATATTAGTCAATCAGTGTTAAACCCCAAAAAAAGTTTGAACCCCTGATCTTACTGATAACTCGTCTAACTAGTGATACGGGTCGATGAAAAAATCGTGGGCCGGGGCGATCCTAAAAAAGCTCGGGCCGGTCGACCGGGCCGCCCTTTTTGCTAGTGTGATTTTCTTCTGATCAAAATCAGTCAACATATCTATATTAAACGTGCAAAAGGCCATCAAGTAGTTTCTTGTGATATTAAACGATTTAATTTTTATTCTTTTTGCCCTTGAGAAAATTTCGGCACGTTAGTATTCTATGTTGATTGATTGTCTATGCCACCGAACATTTCTGATTCTTATATTTGCTATTTGCCAATTTATCACCTAAATAAACTAACTTCTCTTACATTATTATAAACGACTTTTATTCAATTTTCAAGCCTGAAAATATGCTTAGAAGAGAAATGATTCTAACACTTCTATAATCAACCGGCCCGGCACACAAAGCTGTGGGCAGAGGGTCGACCCGGCTGTTGGGCCGGGGTCGACTCTTATCACTACGTCTAACCAACCTTTCCCATGGGTTAACCTATTTCCTACACTCATTAGACATAGAAATTTATTATAGCTGTTTTCAAAAAGATGTGGAATGGGCAGATCATCATATTACGGGAAATTAGCCAAGATTTCCAAAGTTTTCAAGACCCGCTCCAATCGGTTCCTTAATTTTTACTAATTGGAATTTTCAAATTCTCTGATTCCCCATATGGGTATATGGGAATCGTTTTCCACATCTTTTTGAAAACAACTGTAAATGACGCATAAAGACTTGGGAATGTTGATAATCTCAGTTAAAATCTATATTTACACATTAGTAGTCAAATTTTTCAAATTTTGAGGTAGTTCGCAAATGCGCCATAATGTCTTGAACGAACGTTGAAGTATCACGAGTGTTGAAATAAATTGCCAAACCATCTGTGCAAGATTTTAAGTGTCTGTACGATATTAATTAACCCCACAACAATTTTCGTGTGAAATCAAGAGTGGATTTAATATACCATATAAACTCGGAATAACACCCACCTATGCGTTATTTCGAGTGTTCCCATGTACGTTATTTCGAAATATAGGTTAAATAAACCCCTTAATTATAATAATTATAGAAAGGAATGAAAATTGCACCTGAACTGAATTTTGTACCAAGCATACCTGCTTTTACTACCGTTATCATTATCTCAATATGAAGAGTCTGAAGAACAACTTTTATTAGAGCGCAAAAGGAGGTTTACTAGTACTTAATCCAGTTTCGGTACACTTTTTATTTTTTTATTTTTTTTATAGAGGGATGCACGTTAATTCGATACACACCTGGGCGTTCATTCGAAACTACATATATTAGTTTTGAAAGTCCCGATTTACAAAATAACACCCACAGGCGTTATTTCGAGATTGTACGGTATGTAAAGACATAAACGGTAAAAAGCTTGCCTTGAATAAAATGTGGCTTGAGTTCAATACATGAAAAGTTATAATGAAGTATTTCTTTAAAAAACTTCCTGATAAATAAAAGGTCGATTGTATAAACTAGAGTTTGGAACGGTTTTGTTTTCATATGTACAAATCGATTATAACAAGTTTTAATGTATGAAAAGTAAAATCGGTTCCTAACTCTAAGTATAAACCTGTTACTCCATATTATAGAGTTCTGACATACGTACTGTACGTACGTACGTAATCTTACCTTAATTTACTTGAAACTAGTCTATAAATGCATCAATCATAACCTACTACAATTTGGGTTTAATTGGTAATTTTTGTAGCATTGGTATTAGTCTTTGCCTGTATAGCCATTGATTTGATTCATTTTTCCTAAGTATGTACAATAATTCGTTGTGAAAAAATCAAATTTTGTTTAATGTTTAAAATTTTAAAAAATTGTAAAAAATGTTAAGAAAAAAATTTTCGAATTTGGATAAATTTGAAAATTTGTAAGCTTCTTAAATTTAGACAATTCAATAAATAAACTGATAAATTTTAATAGGTTTACTAAAATGCACCATTGGTTTGAACACCATAGTTCTATATCTCAAAAATGTACTAGCTCACACACCTCAGGGGCACTAAGTGAAAGTGTTCAGTCCCCAAAAACCTCATGCTAACTAAAATTTGAATCTCTAATAATTGAAATTTAACTTTTTTTCAATATATGATACAAATATATTCAGAATAACCTTTATGTATAATTTGTAAATTTAATTGTAAACTTAAAACGTTATAAGAAATCTTATACAAAAATATTAGTAAAAACAAGATCTTAATATTTAAGAAAGCTAATAAAAATAAAAATTTTTTAATATTTTACCGGTTATAATTTTTATTATAGAAATAAAGCTTAATACAAAATTACAAACCCACTTTCTTTGTTATTTAACTTTTTAAGATCTAAAAAAAATTAAACTAAAAAATAAACAATATTTAAAGCAATTTTTATAAATAATTTATATACCAATAATAATGAATTTGTAATTTAGATTTCTCAAGATGCAATTTAATCAACTACAGTAAGACTTCCATAGACGCACTCTCTATAAGTGCATACCTTCTCCAAATGCGCGCTCAATTTCCTCAATTTCAACCCAAATACAGTCTTCCTCCTCTATAATCACCTCCTATATAATCACAACTTCTATGCAATCACATTAAATTTTGAGATGATTTATTAATAAACTTATAAAAAAATACTTCTATATAATCACACTCTTTTATAATCACTAATTTTCTTGATACAAACTGCGTGATTATAGAGGAGGAAGACTGTATATACATAACATTCATAAATGCACTTTTTCTTATTATTCTCTAGGTGTGCATTATTACCGTTTGGTTTCAAGAGCGTGCATTCATAAAATTTTATTGTACTTACAAAAAAGCTATTCTTTAGATCTATGCTTAAAAACTTATTTACAAATTTCAAAAAAGTTATGCAAAAAGATTTTTGCATAAATAAATCATTTTTTTTCTGAGAAATAATTATATATGAAATAACAATCTATGAGATAATATGTATTTAGTTATAAAAGTGATCAATAATAAAATTTACAAAGTTAATTTATTTCTACAGTTTGTCAAGAGCAGTTCAAAATTATTTTATCTCTAAATGTTTAAAATTGCGTAATTCTGCTCATTTATTTACCTGACATCCGATGTTTGATTTGCCATACCGAAAGAAATTAAATATGTAAAATTCAATCGACTCTGATCACATAATTATACGACAGTCAATTCATCACAATAAACATTATGTAATACTTGTAAGTGCCATTTCCGAAGATTTTTTATGATAAATAAAAGCTTTATATTCATCTTTTTCAACGCCAATACCATAAAGATAACAATAACCAACATTGGATATTCCGCTATTATGACCCATCTCCGCAGATTTTTGATAATAAATGAATGCCCTATTTTCATCTTTTATAACTCCAATTCCTTTATCATAGCAATATCCGACATTATTTAAACCACCAGCATCACCCATATCAGCCGATTTTTGAAAATATATGAATGCTTCCTGTTCATTCTCTTCAACCCCAATTCCAAATTGATAACAACAACCAACATTATAAGTTCCACTTGCATGACCCATATCGGAAGCTTTTTGATAATGAATAAATGCTTTATTTTCATCCTTATTAACACCAATTCCTTTCTCATAACAAACTCCAACACAAAATATTCCTTCAGCAAGTTCCATTTCAGCGGATTTTTGATAATAACTAAACGCCTTATGTTCATCCTTTTTAATCCATTTACCAAAACGATAGCAACTTGCAAGAATAATTTGAACCATAGGATTAATTTGATTTTCTAAGCACCACTTAATAATATTATCTGGATTTTGTTTCTTTTTTGCTAGAAAATGATCTAATGTATTAATTATTGGTTCTGAATTTTTGGCTTTTAATCTTTCTTCATTGTAAAGATTGCATAATTCATTAACAATTTCACTAAAAAAATCCGATGATTTATTATCTTCTAACCCTAGTTGGTTAAAATTATCGGCTATTTGGGTAATGTCATCTGATGAATTGACAAGTTTCCTTGAATGTTCTACGATTAAATTATTTAACATTTTTAAAAAAAAGGAGAGGAAAAAATTTCAAAAAAAGTATGTAAAATGATCTGTATCGGGTATTATTATACATACCTTTAAATAGATAAATAAATTAAAAATCAGGTGATCAATATAAATTATACAAAGCTTTAACGATTTCAAGTCTATATACTAAAATTGACTAAATTGCGTATCATTAAATGCTTAAAAACTAGTTTGGCGTACATTGTGGCAGGTAAACTTTGCTGGGACAGAATTAACTCGATTTATCGTTACACATATCAACTATTGTACCCTGAACTCAACCATTGTACCTTGAACTTGCGTGCATGCGTGAGTACAAGAAATCCGAAACCATTATCCTCTCTTTTAAAAAAGTAGCATATTGAAACCAAATATTTCCTAAATAATTAAATAAAGTGTATTTATATATACTTTACTCAGTCGATCATTTAAGAAAACTTGGTTTCAATGTACTGCTCTGCTTGATAAAGAATTATGATTTTTAGATTAGAATGACAGTTAGATTTTTAATTTGGCTAAAAAAAAGTTTTTACTTGGAGTTTTGCATATAAACTATATTTCATGCTTAATAAAGAATTTTATAATTTAGTAAATTTAGTATAAATTATATTCAATATAAACATTCATGTATAACTATCTGAATGCAGACTAAAATCACTGATCAATAATAAGAGTAGGATGGCAACGGCTGGCTATTTTCGGCTTAGCCGACAGGCTATCTCGTGATCCAGTGCTCCAAATTGGATGCTTTTGGTACCATTCGATTCGCCTCATTGAGACGAATTGAATGGTACCAAAATCATCCAATTTGAATCACTGGATCACGAGATATCCGGTCGGCTAAGCCGAAAATAGCCAGCCGTTGCCATCCCTAAATAAGAGCAAGTAGAAATTTGAGACATTCGACAACCAATTAATCTAATCTTCATTTAAATTATTGTGAATAGCGAAACACTCCTTTTATAAGGAATTGTATCTTTACCGTTGCAGCGCTTACTGTTATGATTTAATTTTTTATTTAGATATGTTATAAATGAATTTGAAATCATTTGAGTTCTGAATCTGTTTAAGTCAAATTATGTGGATTTCGAATCTCAAAATAATTAAATTTTAAAAAATGAAATCAATATACATTTCGATAATATAGGTTATATTAAAACTATAAATCGTAAATAATTTAGAATGTCAAAAATAATTTTTGTTGTAATAATTATTTTAGTGTGTCAAATATATTTTTTGATATAAAACTTTAAAACTTAAGTGTGTCTAAAATATTTTCGCCATTCCAAATGTTTTTATGCATTCCAAATGTTTTCATGACTAAAATTTAATAATTCTAAGATTTGATGTTATCGAATATTAAGGTTTAGAATTGTTTACCTGTATAAAATTGTTTCGTAGTGCCACGCTAGAATTAAGCTTATCGTGAGCCAAAACATACCAAGTATCGCCACCAAAATCAGTTACGCAATCTTTTTTCTAACCCCGAGATCTCAGTTATCTGGGACGCGATTTATTAACAATCGTTTTTTATTTCAACCTGCGCACAAGAATTACAAGATCACGAGATTTCTCGAAAAAATAATTAATTATTGCTACAAATTCGAATGTATAAAAGTTAGTGATACGGGCCGACCCCGGCCCATCGGCCGGGCGGGCAGGCGGGCTGAGGGCCGACTCGCACCTTCATGGGCTGGGGCCGATCAAGGTGAGGTCAAAATTTCTTAAACGATAAAATTATAAAATTGCACCATCATAGTATCGCCTACAAAACAATGTAACTGTTATAGTAGTTCATATAAGATATCAAGCTCTCCAGGTATCAAAAACTATTGACCGAATATATTGATTTATAAATGCAATTATGAAAAAAAAAATCAATTGATTGATAAATCTTCAAAATTAAATTTTTTTTTTGAAGCATAAAATTTTAAAGTTTAAGGTTATACACAAAAAATACAGGTACACAACTCAATTAACTAACAATAATAAGAGAGATAAGAAAGTTTTATTCTCATAAAGTAGCTTATAAATAACTTATTTATAATCTACAAAAAATAAACTAAAATATTGAAAGTTAAAACCTTGGATAAATTTAAAGTACTTATAAACTTTGAATTTGGATAAGTTTAAAATACTTAAATTAAAATTTTGAACCTGGATAATTTTAAATAATTTCGAACCTGGATAATTTTAAATAATTTCGAACCAGGATAATTTTAAAGAATTCAATTATTTTCTACCGTATTTATTTTGAAATTAAAACTGCCAAGCACTTAATAAAAATTATCATATCATATATACATAAATGCATCATAGTTATTACTATTTCATTATACAAAAAAAGGTTGGGATGACGTATTATAATAAGTTAATTATTCTTGGTCTTGTGACCACTGTTAAAAATTTCACTATGCAAAAACTATTTTGCACAGTCAATTGTTAATTTGCACATAATGTATATAAATAATATGTGCACAGAGAATTTTTATACTATTTGTAGTCTTTCAAATTAGTCTAATTGTTTATTCATTCATGTACTTACATAAATATGGCGTATTTAAACTTGATAGTTCAAGATCGACATAAAGAATTATTCCCACCAAAGATAAAAATAACATATCATTCCTTGAAGTTCCTCTTGTCTAGTGTAAATGTTCATTTAATAAAAAAAAAACATCTTGGAATTGTCTCAAAATTAAAAAAAAAATATTGCAGAACATTCTGCCAAAAATTCTAGAATTATCACTCAAGGTTTCTTTGAATTACATAAAAAAACCCTGAAATTATCATGCAAGATTTTCTTTGAGTTTCATAAAAAAAAACCTCCAGAATTATCGTGCTAGGTTTTCTTTGAGTTACATAAAAAAAACCCCTTAGAATTATCACTTCCAAATTTTTTTTTAATTTTATGATGAAAAGGCATAATACTCGTTCTCAAGTAAAAAATCATAAACAAGACCACAATGATACCTTTACTTCGTCAGATCCATTAAATAATGATGATGCTAAATTATCTGAGAATCGATCCAAAAAAAAAAAATGAGCAATCAATTCAAGAATCAATAACTGAAAGTGAAGATGAACTTTCATCACGAGTATCTTATGATACTGTGTCTCCACACCTTGCACCGACTTATTTTTCACCCCAACATGAATTTCAAGAACAACCTGAATTTCAAGAACAACCTGAATTTCAAGAACAACCTGAATTTCAAGAACAATCTGAATTTCAAGAACAACCTGAATTTATCAATAATTTACACCAAAGTGAGAATATTGAGCAAATTACTCTTGATCGATTTTTAAAAGCTCCAGATGTTAAAATATTGACAAACAATGTAGTTGATTCAAAATTATCAAATATTAGTTGGGTTTGGAAATATATGCGAAAGGATAAGTTAAACAACCAGATTAAATGTGATGTAATTACGAACTTAGATGGAAATAAAAAAAAAATTTAATAAGGCTTTTAGCTTTAAAATTTCAACAACACATCTTGGTGAACATCTCAATGCAGTCTATCAACTTTTTTCACAGCAACAAATTGATCAAAATTCAGGAATAATTGAATCAGATAAATCAATACAAACCATACCCTCATTATTCACCAAATTGGACTCTCATAAGCCGGCTAAACAACAGAGATTATTATTTCTCTTGACAGCATGGGTTGTTGAAGATTGTCAAGCTTTGATCATTGTAGAAGGACTGAGATTTCGTGAATTGTGCCGTGAAATAGACCCCCATTTTAAAGTTCCTGGTTCAGCACTAGTTAAAACTAAAATTAGAGAATCAGTGCTTTTTGCTGAGAATCAATTACATGAATTACTATCAAAAACTATGGAATCATTTTCTTTCACCACAGATATGTGGACAAGTATGCACCACCAATATATTGGTATAACAATCCATTGGCTATCAAAAAACTTTGAGTTGTATCAAGCAGTTTTAACAATATAAGAGTTTCCTTATTCGCATTCAGGAGAACGTCAAGAACAATTTTTATCCAAAATTTTTGAATATTGGAATATACGTGATAAATTAATTGGAGAAACTACTGATAATGACAAATCAGTTGTTAAAGGAATGGATTACATGAAACACCTCATACACGTTGCACTGCTCATATAATCCAGTTAGCTATTAAAGATGGACTTGGTGCATGTGATAATATTTTAAGTAAAGCAAAAAAATTAAATAATTGATTAGTAAAAAGAGATCGATATAGGCAAAGCCTTCGCAATATTCAAAATGAATTTAATCAACTGTCAACAAATATTTCAGAAGACTCTGATTGGCCATTATTAGAGGATGAAGATTCTGATTCAGAAACTGAAGATTTATATGAATCATTAGTGCAATCAAGTAAGCAAGTGAAAAAAAAAGAACAATCTATTATAGAACCTATACGTGACATCAAGACGATATGGAACTCTACGTTTTTTGTTTTAAAAAGACTACTTCAACTACGAGATGCTGTAGAGCGACTTGCAAAGTCATTAAGCTGTCATCCTGAATATCAACAAAAAAAAAGATGGACAAAATTTAATTGGAAAATTACTTTCTGAAGAAGAGTGAAATGAACTAGAGGATTTATTAAAACTTTTGTCACCCTTCGCCCAATCAACAAAATTAATCGGAGGTGCACAATATCCGACCCTAGGCATAATGCTTCCTACAATTTCACTTTTGCTATCTCACATACATCAAATGAAAGCATCTCTTAGTTCATCTAGTATTTTAAATGTTTGTCAACAAATTGAAAACTCCATGTTAGCTCGCTGGGAATCACCTCCAATAGAAGCTTATTTTGCTTCTTATCTTAATCCTCGGTTTAAAAATTTGTCTTTTGCTAGTAATGAAAAAAAAAAAAGGGTTCAAGATATGCTATTAGAAATAATAGAAGCAAGAGCTAATGCTATAGATACCCCAGTACAAACAGAAATGGATCAGCTTTATGATGGTGTTCAACTTGATTTTCTGATAGAAAATAAAATAGAGCGATACAACAAAGTAACTCAAATGAATAAATATTGCATTGATGACCCTCTTTACAAAACTCATAATCCTCTTTTATGGTGGCATACAAATAAAAGAGAATATCCAAATTTAGCAACATTGGCAAAAAATTTTTTACATTCCCGGCCACTTCAGTACCCTCTGAACGGTTATTTTTTGATGCAGGAAACATTCTAACAAAAAAAAGAAATCGTTTAGATTCAACCACAGTACATGATATATTGTTTTTAAAAACAAATTCTAAAATTTTCAATATTTATCCCGGGCTAAAATAAAATTTAAATTAGTATTGCAACAAAGATATAAAGAAATTATTATGAAAGTAGAATTATAGTTAAAGAGGATAAGAATAAAGTGGGCGAATATTATTATAAAGCAGCATATTGGTATGAAAAGAGAAATGCATTTAAAAAAGACAAGCAAAAAGCTTTTGAACTTTACAGAAAGCTGCTAATATGAACCATGTTGAAGGAACATTTAAAACTGGTAATTATTATGAGAATGGGATCATAGTTAACAATGTAATTAAATTTGAATTAATAAAGCAATTTCACCAAAAAAATAAAAATAGCTATTTGCTAGTATTTAATTCATTATTCCCAGGCACCTGATTAAAATTATCTAAATAGAATAGTTAATCTTTATTTAATTTTTAATCAGGTGTCCAGGAATAATATGTAAAGATCGCGATAATTATACAATAAATTAATATTTTAGGTATTTTGGTAACAATACCATAAATATAACATGATATAACATCGCAAACCCCGTATTTAGCTTGCTGGTTCACTTGTGTATACGCATATATGTATGTTTCTATTCTTTAGCTATTTTTTGAAATGAAAAAATTATTTAACTCTATTTCTAAAAAATTATTTACATACTGCCACTTGAATTTTCTTTAATGAGTCCAGGTACTAAAGACCGATATTTTGTATAAATATCTTGCAATTTATTGATTAAATTTTTTTTCTTAATAGAACGGCCCACCTGGTCAACCGGGCTGAGAATTTTGTCAGCCGGGACAGTTCAAGCATTTGGCATTGGCCCGTATCACTAATAAAAGTATTTATATCAAAATTCAAAATTTATTTAAAATATATATAAACTTTAAATTTAAATTGAATGCTACTAGTTAAAGATGTGTTTGTTATATCCATTCTATGTTCGAAATCTTTAATGCCATTTACCTTTTTTTTGAATAGGCTTAAAGTTTGATTTAATACATCGAAGCCATTTTTTTGTTTGGGAAGATTATTAGACTTTTCAAGACAATCAAGTTTCTAAAACATAAAATTAATAAATATATTTATTTGAACACAGAAATATAATGATAAAAAATTTTTTTATACCTCATGAAGAGTTTTCCTATAATTTTTTAAATTTTCAAATGTAGATTCATACTTATTATCTATATTTTGGTTTTTTGTTTGATCATTAAATTGACTTAGGTATAATTAATTAAGGTGACATTCGGATATAGCTTTTTAACCTCTATTATAAAAGAATATTGAGAATTTCATTATATCTAAATTAATATGATGTTAGAGTTAGAGATTTTCAAACTACAATATAATATCAAGATATTTGCTAATAAGAATCTATTTTTTAAAAAAATAAGGACAAGAATATGACCAATTTTGATATTCAGTTAAATATTTTTAATGCTAAGGGTGGTTAATTTATTTCACTCAGTTTGAAACCACAGTGTAATAGTTGTTCATGTAGGAGTAATTGAAAATTATGCAACAGTATTTTTTAGTAAGAATATAACAAACAAGATCAATATGTGACTGGTTGAATTTGTATAAGTAATCCTTTTAGTATACCATATACATAATGCTATCTCCTTCAACATCCATAGGTTTTTATAAACTATATATTTATTCAAGTTCTTCGGATTTCATAGCATTTTCTCTTTCTTACGAATCCATGATTTATTATTAATTGGAGGCGCAATATTTGGCTTTGTAATTCAGCAATATGAACAAAACTTTGTAGGATGTGTATATTCCAATTTAAAAAATATTATAATCAAAAAAATAAAAGATTTCAACGTAAGTTTGTATTATTATTCTTAATATATTATCATTAATCCAATGTCATTATTGTATAAATCATTAATTTTAATGTCAGCAATAGTGTTGGCAGGTGAAACTTAAAGGTTTCTTCACAGATGAAAGGCGAAGTCTAGTTTTGACTTTCTCCAAAAAAAATTAAAACTTGTATAATACTATGCCCAAGCCTTTTTACTCTTATATAAGTAACTAAGATACCTTTGAGTAGTAGGATAATTTTTGATAAGCTCAGCATATTGAAACTCAAAATCATTAGCATCAAGTTTATTCTGATATTTGTAAAAAGATTTAGCAAAGCTTTTATATTCTTTTGATAATTTATTTTTTAAAGTTTTTTAGAACATTCTAACAATATGCTATATAATAGATGCTATGTTGATGAATACATTTGTGTGATTACAACATCCATAGCCGGGTTAGTATTAGAAATTATAATTGGTGGTTAAATACAACTGCTTGATCAAACATTCACAAAAGCTATAAATATAATCTAATAAATGATCTTCTATAAATGCTTGTGCAATTGGCCTTGAATTGTAGTTACTATCAATGATTATAAAAAATAATAGGGGTATATTGTGAATATTAGTTTTTGCTATATTATTAAATATGACTATAGATCTATAATAAGCATATAATTCAATTTGATGTGGCTTCATCTAAAATAAGTAAATAAGTGTATATATTAATAGATCTACTTGGTGTTTAACCAACTATTTTGAATTATTTATTTTTTGATAAGTAAATTATTCAATAAATTGTTAGCATTATTAATTACAAGTAATTTTTATTAACAAAATAGCCAATAGTATTAAACAGATCTTTTTTTGTATATATTTGCTTAAAAGAATTTAAAATTGTTAAGGTACTGATAAGTTTTCTTTTTGTGTTTAAAACTTAATATCATGACTTTACTTGTAAATGAAGTTACAAGGTAAGACATTATTGTGAATCACTGGACCTTCCTGCACAATGACATATTGTGATCTGAGATGGTATTTAAGTAACTTGATAATCTTTTTTGTTCATGATTCTTGATTTTTCTGCTCGACATTGTGTTTATTTCTCCCATTACACCCAAAGAGTTAAGCAATCAAAACCATTATACTTATTAAAACCCTGGTTACGTGATATACATAGTGGTTTGTTTAGCGACCTATTCCTATACAGTACTACAGAGAGTAGGCATAGTTATATTGTTGGCCACAAAAGTTGTTTTTTCTGAAAGAAAGAACAGGTTTCATGATGAACAATAATAATTAAACATTTGTTTAGTTAATTTACAAAATTAGAGTAACAAGTATACTGTGTAAAAGTTTAGGAAGAGAGAAGAATAGAAGTAGTTATTAAGTGTTGAGGTATGACTATATCAAGCAACAAAACATGCTTTTTTATGATTATTGATGAATAAAATAACTATATAATTATCATTATTACTTTTATTAATATTGATGTATTACAAACAAACTACTCTATATAATAGTATATTATATTAATTCTCAAGAGGATCTGTCTTTGTTGAAGTAAAAGTTTCTAAACACTGATAAAAAAATGTTCACTTCTAAGAATCTTGATCACTACATTTTTTGAAATAACCCTTATTATAACCAAAGCTCTCTTTTTGCAATTTTTATCTAAAAATAAAGTAAGTTTTATCATAAAACAAATAATTTTTAACATAAAGTTTGCTAATTTTACTATTTTTCACTCTTCTTTTAAACTTAATATTGAGTTATTTATTGCTAGTTGTTTACAAATCAAATACCACCTATTAAAATAAACACTACCTTTTAAATTAAATACTATCAAATTAAATACAACCTGTTCAACTACAAAAAAAATTTGAATTCTAAATTTGTATAAAAATTTTAGTATTTACATCTTCTATATTAGATACATACTGCCCTTAAACTAAAAAAATGATACTTAAAATTTACAAATTTTTAATATTTATGTTGTATTTTATTTACTACTTAATTGTGTCTAAATTAATGTGCTAGTTACTATCATTCTCTTGTAAAATAAAAAATGGCTTGTGATTCACAAATTCTTGAATGAATTTGGTCTATATTTTTAGAATATTTATATAGTATATAACAAATAAAAAAAATTATTTAGTTCTTAAAATAAGTATTACAGTTTAAATAAAAAGCATCAACAAATAAAACTATATAACAAATAAAACAGTGCAAGTAAAAAAAGTTAATTATTTTCAGATCAATTTTTATTTTTATATACAACAATGTATTATACAATAAAATATTATGTTATATAATTTATTTTACATAATTTTTTTTATATAGTAGCTATAAGTAAGATATAAATAGAGATGCAATATGAATAGAGCACCAACTAGATTTTACCTTTAATTTAAATAGTCTTAATTAATAATTTAAATTCACTACAATAATTTTTAGTTAAATTATTATAATACTTTAAGAATTTTGCTAACTATAACCAGTAGTGATCATTATTGGTGTGAAATTAGCCAATAAATTTGCAGAATCAGGTGTAATATGCAAATTACTTTGAGTAACAAAAATAAAGTTTTTTTTTAAAAAAAACAACAATATCTCAAGAATTCACCTATAAAACTACCTCTAATGTTCTAACAAAAAATTTTTTACTAAATTTTGCATATAATTAAGATCTTGCTAAAATTCTAGGCCTCACCCTAACCCTAAAGTAAATGAAATAAAAACTTTTTTAGTTTATCATTATCTGGCTAATTACATACTAGTGATGATCACCACCGGTTATTATATATTAATTGATGATTCGCCACTTAATCAGAAAGGAACTGCAAATTTTATAAGTAAATTTTACAATAGGCTCAAATGTGA